CCTGGGTAGGTGAGGAAGCAGGGCTGTAAGCAGAAACACCGGGATAGGAACCCAAGTCTGGGACTAACCTGGGACTCTGTCTGGAACCCGTTGCTTCTTTCTCAAGCTGTGTCCTCGAGGCTGACCCGCTGCCCTCCCCCCTGGGGACACGTGGGTGACTGCAGATCCTCTGAAGCTGTGTAGCCTTAGCCTTTTCCTCAGACTGGGATGCTGGTGAACAGCCCTGTGGGAAGATCACCAAGGATGCTTGTCGTCTCGGAAAACCTGTTCACAGGTCTCCCTGAGTGAAAACCTTCACGATGTTGTCACCGAGGTGCATTATATGTATGGTTCCTTGCTTCTAGAACCAGAAACAGGGAAGAGTCCCAGGGTTTTAAAGGATTTGACAAAATGGGAAAATTATACTTACCTGTGGAAGGTTTGCTGTTAAAATGTGGGAGAATCCCGAGATGGTGTTTATCATTACAGCCATGCCTTTTTTCCTTCGAGACCCTGTGACAACGTTTAGGGTTCCTTTGTTTGTGGGTGACAGAAAGCCCTGACCAGACTGGCTTCGGTGACAAACAGAGTAGCACTGTTGGTGTCAAGGTGGGCTGGCATCATAGTAGACTTGGAGCTGGTCTCTCCCTCCAATCTGTCCTCTACCATGTTGGCTTTATGTTCCATTTCTAGAAGACGGCAATGCAGCTCTCACCTGGGTGAGTTACTGACCCCTTTCCTGCCTGCCTAGCAAAGGTCACTGGCTCTGATTAGTCCCATACTCCCCCCAGCCTCCCAGCCATGGCCCCGGGGGTTGCAATACACTGATTCTGACTCAGGTTTAAGTCCCATGGTCCACTCCTGGAGCTGGGGGTGTGGCCAGTGGTCAGGCCTCCTCACCCACGGGGACCATGGAGAGGGGCATTCACCAAGGATACAGATGCCCAAAGGAGGGAGGAGACGGAGGCTGGGCTGCCCCAAACCAACGCGTGTCCTGAGGGAGTCACCGTTAGAAAGAGTTGACGAGAAGTCTGCCCAGATCAATTTGAAATAGGAATGTGTGAGCTGTGGTAAGCGACAAGTTCCAGAAAGTGTGTACCAAGGGCAAAGAGTTTCTTGGTGTTAAAGATAAGTGGAGGCGGAGTCTAGTGGCGGTGTGGAGTGGGCTTGCAGAGGGAGTGAGTGGGGGAACTGGCGCCTTGCCTCTCGCCTGGCACGAGGTGGTTCAAGGTGAGCCTCCAGGGAGGTTCGTGCTGGAGCAGCCCTTGGTCCTTGGTCCTGGGGAGATCGACCTCTCTGAGCCTCAGTTTCCTCGTCTGGAACACAGAGATAACAGCGCTGCCTTATAGGGCGATTTATATGTTTTGCATGTGATGTTACATGTAAATTGCTTAGCTGGCACCCGGGAGGAGCTCAGCTCTTAGGGACCGCTGTTGATCAGAAAAGATGAGTTAGAGCATCCACACTCAGAAGAGACAGCAGGACTCAGTGAGGTCACGTAGGCTTTGAACGAATCTGTCTTCCCCTTATCTCACGTCTTCCTCTCCGAGGCAGGGTGTCTCCGTTCTCTGACCCGGGACAGTGAGGGTTGGGAATCTAAGGGTCTGTGGGAAATGCTGGTCGACTATTCATGCATTTCCCAGCTTCTGACACACACAGCTAGTAAAGGAAGGGCTCACCTTTTAATTTGAAAAGTACATGAGGTGAGGCCCCCTCCACCCATCCCTCCCCATGCGACTCCAATCATACATGTGGTTTCTCTCTGGCGCAGCCAGTCACCTTCTGCCATGGGTGAGGCTGCGTCTCTTTCAACTTCTCACAAGTCCTGGTTTTCCCTTATTAACATGTCCAGTAGTGAAACAGCAGAAAGTACTTTTTTGTGAAAGGTTTTGTGGCTCAGAGAGTTGATTATTTGAAATGTAATGTCTTCAGCTCATTGTGTCAAAACTGGTGTTTGATGCCTGTATGAGGGCTCTTGCTAATGGCCTTTTGGTTTAGGCAAAGCTCTGTAGAGAAATGGAACCAAGAGTGTGTGTGTGTGTGTGTGTGTATGTGTGTGTGTTTGCACACATACAGGCTTGAAATCCAAGAAGAGCTAAGATTTCCATTTTAGTCTGAATGCAGGAAAAAAAAAAAAAAAAAAGAATGAGGTCCCAGCTCAAAGGCAGTCCGGCAGGAGAAATTCTCTCACTTGTGGGATGTCAGCCTTTCTTGTCTATTCAGGCCTTCAAGTGATCGGGTGAGACCCACCTGAGTTGGGGAGGGCAATCTGCTTTACTCAGTCTACCCATTCCAGTGTTAATCTCAACCAGAAACACTCTCACAGACACATCCAGAAATAATGCTTGAGCCGATGTCTGGGTAGCCTGTGGCTCAGTCAAGTCTACACATAAAATTAACCATCACTGAACCTTTGGTGTGATCTTCAGGTTTAAAATTACCTTCTCAGGTGACCTGCTTGGAATGGCTGTCATTAGAGCAAGTAGGCCATGGTGTTCTAGAGGTTGGGCTGTGTTCCAGCTTCTCCTGTGGTAAGTGTTCAAGGGTCTTATTTTAAGCTCAGCAGGTAAATTTTCTCATCACGAGACTCTATGAACAATCAGGAAGAAGGAAGGTGATTTTATGGTCGTTGGGGATCCATTTCCATGAAGCAGGGCTGAAGTCAGAGCCTCCAGAACCTTCTCCCAGGGGCAGCCGTCAGCCCTGCTCCAGAGCCAAAGACTAAGTGAGGTTTCAAGTTCCAAGTGCAGGACGAGGTTTATGAATCAGATTTTGCATTTTTCTAATAAGCCTCATGATATTTGAAAAACAGTTACAAACAATGGCGACTCTTCATCCAGAAACCATCTGGGCGCCAGTCTCTTCGGGCATCTACAGGAGCTTTCTCAAACCCTCGGGTCCACAGGACGAATCCTATTCCAGCGTTCCAGATGCTTGTCCAGATGTGTGTTGGGAATGGGCAGCCCTGGCACTGGGCACAGTTAACAGAAGGGCAAGTCCGGCTCCTTTGCAAAGCCAGGTGCTTCCTCTGAACAGCTGTGACCCGTCAGGGCAGAGATAGGAGACTTCTGAGAAAAGTGTGATGTGTGCGTCCGTGTAGATCCGGACCTTGAGCCTCGTCTAGAGGGCTTGTGGGGTGGGTGGTTTTCCTTGTGGCTTTGTCTTGGGTTGCTGTGGCATATGGAGCCGTTTCTGGGCTTAAATTTCCCCATCCAGTATTGGAGATTGAATTGGTCAGGGATTATGTCATCTGGGGCAGAACACTAAGATCTATTTTACTCCTTTGTGGGGAGGTGGAGAGAAAACAAGAATCTGTTGATTGTGAGAATCTGGACCAGCGGTATTTATACCGTAAGCATTTACGCTCCCTTTTACAAAGCCTGCTTCCAAAATACTGTTGTCCCGTGGCCACTGGGGACGTGACCGGCTGTGCCCCTCTTACCTCTTAACCACCTGGCTTGGTGTTTGCGCCGTGCTGCAACGTGTTTGAAATCCACGCAGTTTCACACCCACACCTCTGCGTGCGTGCCTGTGATGAAAGCAGGAAGGACAAATTGCTTTGTAATGAGGCTAGGGGATTGTCAGGCTTTATAGCTGATTTCCCAAAGTCTCTACACAAAGAACCACAAGGAGCAGTGCTATAGGTTGTACAGGTTGCTTTAAGCCAAAGGTATAGATAAATATTTATATTTTCTATGCAAACAATCCTTTCACAAATCATGTCTTTGATAAATAACACTAGGTAAGAAAAGAGCAAGTTGCTGTTGCTAAGAAACTCTTACTTGACGGTGAACTTCTGTTTTCATTGTTTTGCAAACTTCTTGAGGAGTTTCTGTGTGCTGGGGTCAGAGAGACGGGGCATGTGTCTTTGATGTGGTCTCCAGCTGGGTACGGCTTACAGTCTGCAGGAAGCATATTTAGAGAATATGATTCTTCAATGCCCCATTTAATGATTCTGGGGGGTTTGGCTGGTTTCTCATAGATAGTTTCAAATATTTTTTAAAAAGGAGGGACATCAGAGAATACAAGGCATTTGGGAAAAAGTTCAAAATAGTGCAGAAAGAAATGCTTAGAGCATCAGTAGTCATAATAACAATATCGTTCCCTGTGGCATCATAAACTGTCAGCTGTGTCCTGGTCAATGTCTCGTGCTTTGTGCAGAGGGTCTGACACTGGGGATGGAAAGGCTTGCTCGGCACTTTCCCCGTGGTCCCCAGTGACCGTCTACCGTCCCAGAGGTAAAAGCATAGGGTTATAACTCCCAATGCTCACAAATCCTTGTGATGGAAACAATACTCATTTGTACAAGTCCTTGTCGTGTGAGAGAGGCTGTAGCACGTTTAACTCCCATTTGTTGATTATTTTCACAGACAGTCATTTTTGCCGAGAGCTTGCTGTGTGTAGGCTTGTTAAATGCCTCATCTCACTTAATCCTCCCTCGCCTCCGAGGGACAGATACTGTTCTCATCCCATTTTATTTATGAGGAAACTGAGGCCTAGAGAGATGGACTGACTTGCCCATGATCACACAGGTCGAAAGTGGGCAAGCCTGCGTTCTAATCCACCTGGCTGGCCCATGGGGCAGGGCACACAGTGCCAGGCTGTGACGCCTGTGCTTGGAGCAGTGACCTGCCAACACGGCAGGGCTGGGATGAGGGTGAGGGGCCAGGGGATGAAGGGATGAGGGGCATCATGCCAGCCCAGGGGCAGGGCTCAGTTCCATCCATGTTGAACATTTTGGTCTTTTGCTCATCGTGTATTTTCTTTGCATTAATTTTGCCTTTTAAAATCTTGCATTTGGGCATTATAGATCTTGATCGCTGGGTTTTATGGTGCTTTGGGCAGGTGTGGGTGAGGACCACGAGGGTTGCTGAGGTCAGGAACCCGCCCAAGGTCCCATGGCCGGAAGTGGAGGAGCTGGGGTATTTGCCAGATCTCCTGGGAGCCAGGCTAGGGCCAGCAGCGTGGCTTACCCCAGTGGGCATCGCTGAGTTCTCAGGAATGTGCTTCCCCTCTTCCAGGTCGGGGAAGAGGTTGAAGAAGACCCGCAAGTATGACATCATCACCACTCCAGCCGAGCGAGTGGAAATGGCCCCGTTGAACGAAGAGGATGACGAAGACGAGGACTCCACAGTATTTGACATCAAATACAGGTACCGGCTGGGAACAGTGGCTTGCTTTCTCCTGGGCTCGCTGGCTTGGGGAGGTGGGGCAGTTCACCTCTGAAGACAGTGAGTGGCCAGGCGTGTATTCTTGTTCTTTGGCTAAGTCTTTGACCTTGGGGTATTCTGCTTCTAGGGGGGAACTGCTTTGATCTCTCCCAGGAACGCGCAGCACCCAGAAAGCCAGCAGGGAAATGCTTGCAGGGAAATGCTTATTCTCAACTCTTTCCTGATGAGAACCCTTGAGAAGTCAGCTTTGTGGGAGCGAAAGGAGAGCTGAATTTCGGACAACGAGCTTGTCATGTACAGACTGTGGGGAATCTGGTCCAAGCAACCGCCATGTACCACGCGCCATGCACACAAATGGAAACTTGTTTTTCAGCCTTGCTTAGTTGGTAATGGAGAGCGTGGGGTGGGGGTTACTCCTTGGATGGAATTTACCGCTGAATTCCAAAGGCAGGTGTGTTTCTTTAACGTGGCCAGTAGGAAAGTCAGAATGACTTTTTAACTTCAGGATTGTAGTTTGGGCTTTGGCTTCTTTTGGGAAGTACTACTCTGGGTATGTGAGATTCTCAGTGTTAGAGCTGGGGGCAAGTGTAGTTTAGGGATGAGGGCTTGGAGGCCCAGAGAGGGGCCATGGGTTGCCCAAGGTCACAGTTACTAGTGGCAAAGTTGAGACACAAATCCAGGCTGGACCCTATCTGGAGATTCCTCCCTCCCCACCAGGGTCCTCCAGAGAAACAGAATCAATAGGATATACACACACAGAAAGAGATTTATTATAAAGGTCCAAGTCTGAAAGCCTGAGAACCAGGAGAGCCGATGGTGTAAGTTCCGGTGAGAGTGCAGGAGAAGACCAATGTCTCAGCTCCAACACGGTCAGGCAGAGAGAGCGAATCCCCCCTTATTCTGCCTTTTGTGCTATTCAGGCCTCCAGTGGGTTGGATGAGGCCCACCCATGCGGGGGAGGGCGATCTGCTTTACTCAGTTTACCCAGACAGTTGTTAATCTCAGCCAGAACACCCTCCCAGACACACCCAGACTAACGTTTTACCAAATATCTGGGCACCGTGTCACCCAGTCCAGTTGACCCGTAAGAGTCGCATCACACACAGCTTTTCTGTACCTCCTGACTTGTCCTTTTCCAGGACAGCCTTGGGTATTCTTGGCTATAAAGGAGTTAGATTCAAGAAAACAGTGTTTGGGATTTCGATTAGAACAGCATTGACTCTGTAGATTGATTTAAAGAGAATCAGCCCTTTATGCTAAGTGAAATAAGTCAGACAGAGAAAGACAAATACTGTATGATATCACTTATGTGTGGAATTAAAAAAATACAGCGAACTGGTGAATATAACAGAATAAAAAGAAGCAGACTCACAGATAGAACAAACTAGTGGTTACCAGTGAGGAGAGGGAAGCGGGGAAGGGGCAAGATAGGGGTAGGGGATTAAGAACTACAAACTATTAGGTATAAAGTAAGCTACAGGGGCTTCCCTGGTGGCACAGTGGTTGAGAGTCCACCTGCCGATGCAGGGGACAGGGGTTCGTGCCCCAGTCTGGGAAGATCCCACATGCCGCGGAGCGGCTGGGCCCGTGAGCCATGGCCGCTGAGCCTGCGCGTCCGGAGCCTGTGCTCCGCAATGGGAGAGGCCACGGCAGTGAGAGGCCCGCGTACCACAAAACAATAAAAAAAAAAAAAAAAAGCTACAGAGATATAGTGTACAACACGGGGAATATAACCAGTATTTTATGATAACTATAAATGGACTATAATCTTTAAAAATTTTGAGTCACTATATTGTACACCTGTAACTTACATAACATTGTACATCAACTGTACTTCAATAAAGAAAAAAAAGAGAATCAGGCCCTTTATGTTGACTCTTCCCATTCATGAACATGGAATAACTTTCCTTTGATTTAGGTATTGGAAAAGATGTCTTTCAAAAACTTCTCCATAAATGTATTATAAATTTTTTCTAGATATATTCCCAGGTGTTTTACCTTTTGAGATATATATATATATATATATATTTTTTTTTTTTCTTTATTTAAAAAAAATTTTTTTGGGGGTAGGATGTATCTTTAAAATTTTTTTTTAAATTGTTTATACAGCAGGTTCTTACTAGTTATCTATTTTATACATATATATGTCAATCCCAATCTCCCAATTTTTTTTTACTTTAAAATACTGTTTACTTTAAAATACTATTTTATTTATACTCATGTCTGAAAAAAAATGTCTGTATTATCATGTTCACGTACATACCAATATTGGAAACAGAGTTTGTTAACAAATCACACCTAAATTTTATGAAGAATGCACAACATTGACATGGATTGGTTATTGATAGCGTGGAGGAACAAACCATTAGCTATAATTTGCAGTTTAGGTATAGAGAAGAAGAAACCCCCTTTGAGAAGAATCAAAACAATTACTAACCTGCACCCATACTGCAAAATACTAAATACTTAAGAAAGTGATTATACTGATTTTATTGCTAAGCCGTTTTATCGGTCTCACATTCAAGGCACAGAAATGAAACAAAATGGGAAGACCACGATGTCCTCATTATGAGTCACAATGGAAAGGCTCAGCTGCATCCTGCAGGCCTGGGGTTATTGTACGATAGGGAGTCCTTGATGGCTTAAGGGGATCAGCAGACTGTTTTGATTTTGAGCCGTGGGATGGGATCTCATCCATATTTGGTGTGTGAGCCGACTCCACGGGGGCTAGGATAGATGCAGCCATTTTTGTGGTAGCCTCAGACCCGACTACATAAGAAAAGACCCTAAGCAAAGAAATATCACTGTCTGTCCAGAAAGTCTACTGTTGACTCTTTCTTGAGTATAAGCTGGAAAAGGGGCCCCTCTAGAGAATCTGGATACAAATATTATTGTGGTCTAAAGACTGCTGGGTGGAGGTCGTGTCTGTTGTCACAAAGAGGAGGAAAGTATTGAAACCACTGTCAGATTAAGAACCTTCCACAACGAGTCTCAGTTCTTCAAATAATGGAGCAAGTTCCTTTCCTAGGAACAGTTAGCGCTGTATTGGCATTGCTCCTGGCTGTGAAACTCACCATCAAAGGCAAATGATTTCAAAATTAAAACTTTTTTTTTCAGTTTTATTGAGATGTAATTGACATACAGCACTGTATACGTTGAAGGTATACAGCATAATGACATACATATATTACGAAATGATCACCACAATAAGTTTAGTTGGCATCTAGCACCTCACATAGTTACAAAAACATTTTTTTTTACCTTGTGATGAGAACTTATAGGATCTACCCTCTTAGCGGCTTTCAGGTCTATCATACAGCAGTGTTAACTTGTAGTCATCATGTTGTACATTACGTCCGCGGGAGGTATTCATCTCGTAACTGGAAGTTTGTACCTTTTGACCGCCTTCACCCAATTTCCCCCTCCGCAACCCCCTGCCTCTGATAACTGCAAATCTGATCTCTTTTTCTATGAGTTCGGTTTTTCTAGATTCCACGTATAAGTGAGATCGTACAGTATTTGTGTTTCTCAGCCTGACTTATTTCATTTAACGTGATGCCCTCATGGTCCATCCATGGTATTTGTAAATGGTAGGATTCCCTTCTGTTTTATGCTGACTAGTATTCCATCGTGTGTGTGTCTGTGTGTGTACGTGTGTGTGTGTGTGTGTATCACATTTTCTTTATTCATCTGTTGTTGGACACGTAGGCTGTTTCCATGTCTTCGCTATTGTAACTCATGCTGCTGTGAACGTTGTGGTGCAGATATCTCTTCAACATAGTGATTTTGTTTCCAAAGGCAAATGATTACATGGAACTACCTGGTAGGTGTTAAGGTAGCAGGTAATACTTTTGCTGTTTGAGAGTCCGAGCTTGCTCCCTGGTCTGTTGCAATGCTCTGGAGGATTTTTGTTGGCCACTGTAACGATGGGCCCTCTTCCCGTGAGCCATGGCTGCTGAGCCTGCGCATCTGGAGCCTGTGCTCCGCAATGGGAGAGGCCACAACAGTGAGGCCCGCGTACCGCAAAAAAAAAAAAATAATGGGCCCTCTATCTCTATGAGACACAGCGATAGCATGGGGCCCTTTCACACATGGTAATTTTTAATTACAGCAATCACTTAAGATCCCCCAGGCACCTCCATGCCTCTCCTCCACCCCGATTCTGGGCAGGAACTCAGGACTCAGCAAGTCCATTCATGCTAGTCTTTCATCCCAGATCATCCACGGTAATGACCCCTGTATCCCACAGGATCAGTCTCCACGCCCGGGTTTCTGCTTCTGGGGCTGCTGGCTTCTCTCTGCTGTCACTTTGGGGACAGCTTCAAAGACAGGCTCCCCTGCAAGCCGCTGCCACACGATTCATGACCTCAGTCTGATCTCTTTTTTAAAAAATATCACTTTCTTACTTTCTGTTCATGGGGTCTAGAAATGCAGTTGATTTTTTAAAAAAATCCAGCAGCCTCATTAAACTCTTATGAATTCTAGTAGTGTAAATGCAAATCTTTTGAGTTTTCTATGTAGATATATCACTTGAGACTAATAAGACTGCCTCCCTTCCCCCCAGGTCCTTCAACATTTTATCTCTCTCTTTTTTTAAGCCTTTTTATACTCACTCTTGGCCTCTAAGTCATTGTTAAATAGAAGTGATGATAATAGGCATCCTGTCTTGTTTTTGATCTTAAAGGGTGTGCTTTCAATATTGACACTAAGAGCAGTGTTTGCTGTAGGGTTTTGTAGATTTTTTTCCCCAGCAAGCTTCCCTCTAGTCCTAGTTTGCTAATGTCAGATTTTATTAAATTCTTTTTCTAGCTCTGTAGAGAATATTATACTTTCTCCTTTAATCTGTTAAGGTGGTGAACTTATATTCATTGATTTTTTTTCTAATATTAAACCAACTTTGCATTCCTGAGATAAAGGAGCTTGGTCATGGTCATGTTATCTTTTTATTCACATTGCTACATTCAGTTTGATGATATTTTGCT